CGAGGACTTGCGCAAGGAGCTGGAGCACCTGCAGATGTACAAGCTGGACTGCGAGCGGCCGGGCAGGGGCCGCGGCTCGTCCTCCGGCCTGGGCGAGTTCAATGCCAGGGCCCGAGAGGTGGAGCTGGAGCATGAGGTCAAGCGGCTCAAGCAGGTGGGCCCTGGGAGCCTCTGACCCGCGGGATAAGGTGTCCAGGTCCCCTCCGGGTGGGTGTCCTGTGAGGGGCCGAGAGCTGTAGCGCCCCCTTCCCCGAGGAAACTGCCTGCTCCTCCAGACACCCTCGTCGTCAGGGCTGCTGGTCCCCGTCTCACGGCTCAGCCAAGGCAGATGGAAATCCCAGGGGCTCTGCTCAGCATCCGTGAAAAGAAGCAGACACCAGTCTTCTGTCCTGGGCGCGTGGGGTGTGGGAGGAGACTCTCCCCAGCCACCCAGTAGTGCCTCACTGCGTTGGGTTCTCCCAGGAGCAGACCCTGCGCCGAGGATTCCGTTTCACATGGTTCCCGGAAGCACTGCCCTGATTGGAGACCAGTTGGGGGTGGGGGAAGCGGGATCAGGATAGGGCAGTGACCCAGCGAGGGCGTGATGGTGCAGGAAGCCCGCACCCAGGGACTCTGAGTTGACCACCCCCCGACCCCCGGAAGCAGAGGTGCTGGAGGTTCTGCTCCCACAGCAATCCTAAGCCCCAGCCCTTCTCAGCCACGAGGGGGCGCCCTAGGCCCCAACTGTGAGCAGTTAGGAGCCTTGAGGCAAAAGCTAGAGTGCAGGGCTGGTCACCAGGGTCTGGGCAGGACAGTACTGGGCCTGCTGTACTCAGGAGCGAGGGTGCCCCTGGAAAGAACTCCCAAGAGCAGGATTCCTGAGCCCGGCTGCAGGAGGAGCCACGGAGATGAGCTGACCTGCCAGCCCAGAGATCCAGAGCATCACTTCTCCTCACCAAGGGCCAGTGTTGGAGACGGAGCCACTGGGTGGGCGGGGCCCCTCTTCTGGCTCACCCACCTCCGGGGAGGAAGGGGCGGCCTGGAGCCATGCCCCTGTCTGGAAACTTGGCTCCCCGAGCAGGGCTGTTAACTCCTCAGAACCCCAGGACCTCCCAGGACCCAGCCCTCCCCCCCCCCCCCAAGCGTGGCAGACGCCACGTCGTCTGTGGGTGTCCTGAACGGGCAATGACACACGCCCAAGGGGCGGAGAGGGCGCTGGTGGCAGTCAGGGAGCAGTGGACGCGGAGAAGTGGGTTCCGGTGGGAGTTGGTATCGCCTTTGTCCCCCTCCCCAGGAGAATCATAAGCTGCGGGACCAGAACGATGACTTGAACGGGCAGATCTTGAGCCTCAGCCTCTACGAAGCAAAGAACCTCTTTGCCACCCAGACCAAAGCCCAGTCGCTGGCTGCGGAAATAGACACGGCCTCTCGTGATGAGGTAATGTGCCCGGCGGCTGTCACCGTGGAGCCTGGCTACTCATCTGTGAGTCCTGCCCCATCTCACCTGTCTCGATGACAAGCCTCAGGCTGCCCAGGGCCCGGCCCCTCAAAGTCCCCATCTGCAGTGACCCCGAGTGACAGGGTAGAGCGGTGAGGCAAGGAGGCTGCAGGTGGAGTTGAACCCGCTCTGATTTCCTGTACGTGGTGGGAGGAGCATATGGGTTTGGGAGCAGAACGGAGTTTTGAGTCTTCACTCTGCCGGGAAAATGCCGAAATGGCCAGTTGATTTCATCAACTTATAATCCAGGGGAGGCCGGACGACCCCTCCCCCAAGTCAAGAAGGGAAGGACGCTAGCATTTCTTGGGTACCTGCTTGCAGTATGTCTTCACTTAATCTTCTGAGAACTCGAAGGCTTTCTGAACACTTGCCTGTCGCAGATCGTGAGATCAGGACACAAGATCACCCAACTTACGGAGGGAGAGGGACCCAGGTCTCTAGCTGCGAAGCCCACTCTTTCTGCCCCACTGGGGTGTGCTTATGAAAGATCAGGCCTCCAAAATACCCAGATTAGATTTCAACACGAATCATGAGTCACTGAACCCTTACCCTGTGCTTGGGACACACAGCTAAGAGCTGGCTCCTGGGCCTCAAGGAGTTCCCATGTGAGCCGGGCACCAGCCTCCAGCCTGTGGGCAGAGGCAGCATTTCAGTTACAGCCTAAAGGACACGGCAGGAGTTGACCTGAAGCAGGACAACGGCAGGGCCGGAGGGTGGTGAGAGGAAACAGCTGGCCGTCTTAAGGACTTTGGATGTCACTCCTGATTATAAATGCCTCTGGCCAGTGCTCTCTAGCTTTATCAGAAAATCACCCATACCTGGACTCCTCCGTGGGCCAGTGATATGAGACTCTCTGGGGGTGTGGCCTGGGCCTCTTCGTATTGAACCCTCCCTGGGTGTGACGCCCTAGACTCATGCCCTGGCTCCGAGCGCTGAGGCTGGTCTTGGGGCACTGGCTCTGCCCACACCCCAGCCCCGGCCCGGCCTCTGACCTCTCTTTCTCGTTCCCTTCAGCTCATGGAAGCCCTAAAAGAGCAGGAGGAGATCAACTTCCGGCTGAGGCAGTACATGGACAAGATTATCCTTGCCATCCTGGACCACAATCCCTCCATCCTCGAGATCAAACACTGAGACAAGGGGCCTGGCTGCAGAGCGGCCTCGGGACCCCTGGACCCCGGGATTAAGGGCCAGATCCTGCCTGAGGATGTGGCCCAGGCCGGGCTCCCACGCACACTGTAAACGTGTCTCTGGCCACGGTGGTGTAACGTGTACTGGTGTGTATGTGGGGAGGCCATGCGCACAGCAAGGGGTGGGCGTGGGCCGTGGCCGCGGGCGCCATCTGTGCTGTTAGCCGTCCTTGCACTTTGTGGTCCCTTTGCGAGGGGCAGAGGGTCCCCGAGGTGGGCGGGGGCAAGGTCGGCGGTCAGGAGTTACTGTAATGATGAGAGCTAGAAGCTTGTGTTTCAGATACTGGATAAAATGATTCTACCTCTGGGGACCAGGATTAAAAAGTACTCTAGTGAGACAGGCTCTTCCACTGCATCCCTGTTTCCGCCTGGGAGTGGGAGCAAAATTACCATCTTTTCCAGGAGTTCAAATGCCTCACCAACCTCTGCGGCCTCCTTTCAGGCCCAGGTGCTTGAGCTCGGAGAGGAAGGAGGAGTGTATGGGGGGAACGTGTAGGGGCCCCTCACGAGCCCCCCCACCCCCAGCCGGCAGCCCGTGTGAAGCTTGTGCACAGTGTGTCCCAAGGCCTCAGGTTTGTGGAGGAGCTGGAGGGGGCGACCTTCATCCTGTTTCCTGCTCACCTACCTCTCCCTCTCTGTCTTTTTTGTTTTTTAAGACACTGAAAAATAAGCAGCGTTCACCTGGGTGTACATGAAGGGTTAAAAGAAAGGGGAAGGAGGCTGGGGACAGTCTAAGGCACGCGTTGGCACGGGGCAACCAAAGACACGATTTTCGGGCGGGAGCACGCTCAGGTCCCTGTCAGCATCCTTTCCTGTGGATGCCTTTTAAGAGAGAGCATGGGTGGACCCTCTCGACAGCTCCCTCGGGCTAGAAGTGGGCCTTGCTTACCTGTCCCTGGTGATGGCCTTGGGTTTGGATTTTCAGAATCCAAGCTCTGGGCTTGGCTCAGTTGGGTGGTGAGGGCCCCGTGTTCCAGCCTTTAGAAACACACCTGTACTCGGGTCTCAGCCAGGGGAGCAAACGCTGTGCTGGTGGGAGAGACAGTTGGGGAAGTTGCAGGGAAACCTTAGTCTTCCATCCTGGGGACACATGGTGGAAATTCACCCTCTGCATCTTTCATGTGATGTTTTGTTCTAGGTGGCTGGGAGTAGGTACTGTACTTTCCTTTGAGTTTTCCAGTGTGTCTCAGTTTTGTATGGCTTGTGAATTGTTTCCTTAATCCAAATACGTATAAACAATGTATGGTCTTATTTTCCCCCCTGAAGTTTCTTGTTTCCTTCAGCACTTCTAGTGTGAACAGGAAAGCTTGGGCATCTTGGGGAGGGGTGTATGCAAAGGAGAGAGGGCAGGAGAGGGTGAAGAGGGGACCTAGGGCCTCGAGTGTGTTCCCGCTCACAGAGCAGGGCTGTGGCCAGGACTGATGTTCATCCCATTCCAGTCAACGTTTGCTTTTGTTGGAGTTCGTGATTTCTTTCTAAGCGTATGCATGGGATTTGTTTCCTGCAGCAAATCATGGGGCTGCATTGGTCTGATCCAGGACTTTGGGGCCGCCCACACCAGGAGGATGAGGGCAGGGGTCAGTTTCCTGGGAGTCTCTCAACCCCCTAAGGACACTGGTCTCCTTGGACCCCCCAGGGGTCCGGGCAGAAGCAGCGGTGGAAAGAAGGCACGAGGAGTGGGTCTCTTGAGAATTTGCTAGTAGGAAGGAATGGCATGAGTTAAAGGACAGGAGAGATGATGAATCACGACGAGGTGGCTTTGGTCTGGGTTTTATATGGGGAGGCATCCTGCGGAGAGGCCAGCCGGATCCGGATCCTGGTCTATGGGGGACTCGCCCCAGGGATGAGCATTTTGATGTGTAACCATTTATGTGCTGTTTAGCCGCCCTGATGTGGAATTCCAGGGGAGGCCGCAGAGGCCTGAGTTAATAAAGTCACAATGTGGGAAGGAATCTCCGCCAAGGGGAAAGCGGTGGGAAAAGCTGTCAGCCTGCAGGGGGCGCCACGGGAGCGGACTCCCGCGGGAAGCGCTAGTCGGGAAGGCCCCTCGGGACCTGGTCTCTGGACCGGGCAGACTGTAAAATGAGACTGAGTTCCACTTAACACAGCCCCATGTTAAATCTAACCTCCTCACTTCAGCCAGAATGTATCAGGTTGGCTTTTTAAGAGCCTGTAGCTTTTTAGCCTGAGAGGGGCAGATGCCGGAGGGGGTCCCAGCCCCACAGCCTCTGGGCAGGTTCCAGAGCTGGACTGACTGGTCCAGGTGGGGCAGAACATGCTCTCTTCCTGTGTTTTCTCCTTCCTTTGTTTTCAGTGGAGGGTTCTGCTTTTCTCTCTCAGCTGCGGGGCTGCTAGATAGTATACAGGATGCCCAGTGAAATCTGAATTTCAGGTAAGCAAATAACTTTCAGTAGGTGTTCCCTGCAGTACTTGGGACACATTTTATTAAATGGAGAAGCTTTTAAAATTCTGATAACTGGGCCCAGTCCCCAGAGGTTCTGATTCCGCCGGTGTGGGGTGTGGCCCTGGCATCAGTGTTTGTTTTTTTTTTAAAGAATTCCCCAGGTGATTATAATTTAACTGGGTGCCCCATGTGGGTTTTGGTTTTGCCAAGCCTGGCAACTGTACCAAGTAGGGATTACGGTAACTTGTGTGAAGTTTAGAGGTGTTTGGGGGTGTGGGGAGCAGGTTCTGCAGCAGATTCACATTTTACATGACTCTGGGCTATCCTCGCCTTCAATCAGAGCCCCAACAAAATTCGTTGAACCAGCAAGTGTTTAAAAAAAAAAAAAATTAACTTTGAATTGCCAGAGTTAGGCAAGTCATCTTAAATGCGTAGATTCTTCAAGAATTATGAGAGGGAAATTATCCTTTATCTATAAACGTCTAATACACTTTATTTCTCACTTATTAAAAACACAAAGCTGGACAACCTCCCAAAGTTCCTGGGCCTGAAACAGGGCTTCTCAACTTGGGCTGTGCATTGGAATCACCTGGGGAGATTTTTTTTTTTAATGCTGCTGCCTGAGCCCCCAGAGATTTGGATTTAGTTGGTGTGGGTGTGGCCCAGGCACCCAGCTGTTTAAAGAGCTCCCCAGGTGATGGTAACGTGCAGCCAAGGAGGTTGCTGGCCAGAGGCAGAGAAAACCTCTGTTGGCCTTGTTAACCCAGGTGCTGGATAACAGCGGGTTCTCCTGCTGGGTTGTTGGTGGCTTTTCCTGTAATGATGATGTCGGATGGTGAGACGCTAGCTGACCCCTCGTCCCCCAGGATGGGAGGCCAGATGCCTTCAGGAGTGGGTGGATCCAACTGTTCTCAGTAGCCTAGGGGTTAGCGAACCCGAGTAGGCCGGCCTCTGCCTGTTGCTCGTGGAGCCTGTGGGTGGCACACGTGGGGATGTATCTACACAGTCCAGAGTGGGAGTAGGATGGAGTGGGGGTGGGGAAGGGGCGGGTGGGTGCTGAAAGCAGCCTCCGAAACAGCGGCCACGCACCTGCACAGCTGAGCCCAAGGGGATTCCCGCTTTGAGGGTTTTGCCTCTGATCTGTTTTCAGGCTGGGGGTTAAAGGTCACCCCAGCACCTCCCCTCTGTTAGTAGCCATACCAGCATCCCCGCCCAGCCCTGGAGGCTCTAGTCGCTAATCTGCTGGATTCCTGGCCGAGCCAGGTCCTGAGGGTCAGGACGGCTCTTTTGTTCCAGCGAGGGACTTATAACGGGCAAAGGCCTTCAGGGGCCGGTGGGGCCTGGGGGACCAGGAAGAAATTAAGCCCTCTTTTTGTGCTGCTGGGTATTGTGTGTTTAATGCATTTAAACCTAAAAGCGAACTTTAGATGCGATGCGATGGGAACAGGGGAAGCGTCGGGATGGCTATAGTGCCAAGGAAACGGCTGTTCGCCCGGCAGATCTACAGCGACTCTCTTTCAGGGCTGAGGTGGGTTTTAGATTAAGGAGAGGGGCCATTCGGGACTGCAGCCCTGGCACCCGCCCCGGCCTTTCCTCCTTTGGGACTAGGCCAGCTCCTCTAATGCTATGCTTCAGGCTGGCCAGAGGCCTCAAGCTAGAGGGGCCACGCCCTCCTGGGTGACTTTGCGCAAGTCCCTTCCCTCCGCTGACCTTAGGGACCTCTGGGCCCTGCCACCCTGTTCTGAGTGCGCCCATGAACAGGCCGGGAGCAGGAGAGGCCAGAGCCATGGGCCTGTTTCCCTGCCCTCCTGCCACGCCCCACCTACCTGGGAAATAGGCTGCCTTCTAGAAAGGTGTGTTTCTAGAAGCGTAGACCCTGCGAAGCCTGATGCCACATGACGTTGGTGCTCCAACCTCGTAGGCTCCTCTTTCCGTTGTGATTGTAATGGAGGGATGTCTGCCCGGAGCCAGCAGCAGGGGGGTGGCTGGGAGAGGCACCCTGGCGCCGACCCTGCAGGATCTCGGTGCTGTCGTCTGGGGAGACGTGCCTTCTCCGGGCCCCTCTGCTTTGCTGTGCTGCACAGGCTGTGTTTTGTCTGCATGGTTTGGGGTCGTTGTCCTTGTGCCTTCTCTCCCCTGTCACCACTGTACAGGAGTTTCCACTGCCCCCTTTTCTACGTCCTCTGTTTACCCGAGCCCTGTGAAGTGTACATAGCGTCCCCCTTTGCGTCCACGTGCCTCCGCCCCGCGACGCCCGCACCCCGCACGCCCGTCCACAGGCCCCCGCTCTGCTTCCTCCGCTCGCTCAGCCGTGCAGACTTGCTGACCTGGGACAGGTGTTTCACTGTGGTCTCACTCAGCCCGTCGTCCAGCCTGCCGCTGTTTAGGCGCCTTGCACACTAGAAAAGCCTCACTCTGTGCAAAGCAGCTTCTCCCACAGCCCCTTCCCTGAGTCGGTGTCAGTACCTGTAGCCGGCAGAACGCACCTTCTTAAGCTGGGGCGTCGGCCCGGCCGCGGTGTCGTGGGTCTGCGGCCGCTC